GAGAGAGAGAGAGAGAGAGATATATATATATATATATATATAGATAGATAGATAGATAGATAGATGTTTTATGCTAACCAAAGCTGCATTTATTTGATCAGAAATGCAGTAAAACCAGTAATATTACAAAATATAATCACAATTTAAAATAACTGTCTTTTATTTTAATATATTTTAAAATGCAGAAATCATTTTAATATGCCGATTTACTGCTTAAGCAATCAGTATATTAGATTGTCACATGATTCTTCAGGAATCAAAGACTGGAGTAATGGTTGCTGAATATAGCCATCACAGGAATAGATTTATGATATATTATGAGATTTTAAATATAATGAAATAAAAAAGTTTTTACTGTATTTTAGATCAAATAAATGCAGTCTTGTTGAGCATGTTTCTTTCAAAAACATAAAAAAACCCAATAGCTATTCCACATACTTGCCCATTTAAATCCCAGACAGACTCACGTACCCTACTGGAATACCTCTCTTGTGTACACAGCCATGTGTAGGTTTTTTTTTTTTATTTACAGTTTTTGCCTATTCAGCTGTTAAAAGCATGTCAGGTGGAGTGGAGGGCAGCAGTGCGGGGTCCGAAACACAACAACTGGCCCCTGTCCCTGGACCAGATGGGTATAATCAGCACCAGCCTTTTGAAGTGTTACCCGAGCATAGCTGGAGGGTCCTCGAGTTCTTTGAGGTTTCTGGGTGAAGTACAGTGGCACTCTGTTTTCCTGTTTTTTCTTCTTCACCCTTTCTTTCTCCCTCTGTCCTCCCTCTCTCTCTCTCTCCTCCCTCTTTGGCAGAGCTGATGGAAGGGATTAGGAAGGAAGTAAAAAGAGAGAGAGGGGCTCTCGTCGCCACGGTTACCCACTCCCCCAGAACTGAAAGATAGAGGGCAGAAGGGACTATTGTTTATTTTGACAAATGCTCTCTTGTAGCCTTGAGGTGACTGACGAAATGATGTGGCCACTCAATTTTCAGCGAGACAGGTGGTACAAAGGCACGAATGACGTGTGTGTATGTGTTTGGCACATCTTATATCGGCCGTGTCCCATTGCTTATGTGCATTTAATGCAGGCAAATGAGCTACAGGCTTATAAATCTAGGGTGACTCCTCAATGAAGTAGGTAGAGACCTGGGGACCACAGAGGCAACTGTAAATATCCCGCTGTACCTACATGCACAAAGTCCCAGCGAGCCCTGCAATGGATGTTTAGACACTGAATAATTTATTTAGACTGCCTTTTAATTGAGTTTTCAGCGGAGGGCTGCCTCGCGCACCCAGGGTGCTCTGTGTTTGTAGGCTTTCCCAAAAACATGTTATCTCACTACCCAGCTGCTGAAAGCATCCTTTGCTTGGTCTCCTCAGGTCTAAATATAGTGTGCCTCAGCCTTTCCCAGGAAATTTTATACAGCACTTTCTCCTTCGCATCCTTCTACTGAGGACTTGTTTACAGCATCCAGTTGCAGTTTCATAGAGGTGAATGGTGAATTATTAGCCAGTGTACGGTGACTGAGGGACTCGCTCGCATCGCTCTACATCTGCTGCGACCAGCTGTGGAGATAATGAATGGACTGGGGAAGAGGAAAATGAGAGGAAGTAGAAGGATCACGATGACATGTCACATCTGAGAATCTGAAATTGCCCCTTTTGGACGCTAGAGGCCATCATCCATCCTCGCAGGATGGAATAGCTTAGACGGAGTCATAGGTCATGACCTGTCTTGCTTGGAACCTCTGCCAGTTCCCTTCCATCGCAGCACTTCCTGTTTATATAGACATGTCTGTCTGCAGGGCTGCGAGAAAGACAGTGGTTAGTTGTCTGACCTCTACTCTTGGCTGGTTATCAGAGACCATGTTTATACCTGGCGTTAACATCCACCTCAGTAGTGCTGTGCGGCTTGACTGTAGACTGTATACCATGGATGGTAGAAATGTGTCAGCTTGCTAATGCTGTTTATGCTAAAGCTACAATCTACGCTGCAAATGTCACAGACAGGAGCTTCCAGCTTTCTTGATTATAATGAGAGCAATTTCGTTTTGACACATCATGTACTTGCTTGTTATGTAGAGACAGTATATCGGTAGCTTGTTTATGGTCGGCCAGCAGTGTAGCAGCAAATCAACTGAAGTGCTGTCACAGGTGTACGTATGTATATTGGCTATTTTATGATATGGTTCATCCAATAATATAATTTATAATGTACTGTAGTACAGTTAGAAATCTTTTAACTTAAAAGCTACACAGTGTCAGGCAGCTGTTGATGCCAGATGTTTTTCTTTCATTAGTTATTTTGAATCTTCCAAAGAGATATTTAATTAGTAAAATGTTTAATTACTTCAATTAAATGTGCTTTTTAATTAAATTGTTATTACTTATATATGATTTTTTTAATTAAAAAAGTATAACTAAGTATGTAATATTTTTGTATTATTTAATTTTACCGTGATATAAAATTGCTACAAAACTGCTACAATTTTGGTTATGCTACCCACTCCTATGTCTCAGATAAGCCAATCACAAGTCAGTGTAAAACTTAATTTTAAACTTAATTTTAAATTTTATTTCATTTTAATGTATTTTATTTTAACATTCAAATTCATTTCATTCAATTAATAATGTAAGTATTTCAATATGAAATTCATATTCAAATTAAATGTTAAATTATTTCATTTATAATAAAGTATTGTAATATTATAATGATATTTAATATTACCATGATATAAAATTACGCATTGTGATATGTTGGATACGTTGCCCACTCCTAGTCCTACATCTCAGATAAGTCAATCAAAAGTTGGCAACCGAGACAGATTACTGTGGTGGGGAGGTTACCTGATTTTGTGTCGACTTATGCCAGTGTATTATTGCAGGCATATCGAAAATATTCTGTGAAGTTTTGCATGTATGCGTGCTCTTCCAAATATTTTGATTTGGACTGTTTCTTTTGAAACTGATCTCAGGGTTTTCACAGTAATGGAACACCAGGACAATCAGGGTACTTCAAAGGAAACTTCTCTAGGGTCTGGGAAATTCATAGAAATTAATACAATCTTAAAAGGCATGGATTTTTCTATAGTTATTATAATTTGTCTTAGATAATCTTCGTTCTTTAGTGCAAAATATTCTTAGTGAGTGAGTTTTCTATTCAAGTATTTGAAAGAATCCTTCAAGTCATAGACAAATTATGGAAATTTATTTGTCAGAAGGTGTGGGAACCCTGAAATAAGCATATCCAGTCCCCACTGCAGCGTTTCAGTCCAGCAGGGAGGGTGTGGATAGAGTTCTTCCAGCACTTCCCCTCTGCAGGGGCCCCGCACCCTTCACTGCACCGGGCTCCACTCAATGACAAATTAACCCTCTTTAATTGTGGGTGAGTTATGCAGCTCCTGGTGCAGCGGTGTGAGACACAATCTTGCAGCATTTTATTGGGCTAATAAATCTGGGAGGGTGGCAGACGGAGCCTGTGCAGTGTGCAGCCAGCCGGATGGTAGTTTGGGGTGGGTGAGAGATAAGAGACTGGAAACCCGCTCTCTCTCATTACCGCAGTTTTCGCCAGAGTTTTTCCAGCGCGTTGGGGGAATCTTATCAGCCTGTTCACACGTCGCCCGTCCTCTTTTGTCATCCGAGCACAGAACAGAAGCAAGATAGACATTAATATCCTGAGCAATCATGCAAGATAAATTATGAACATGCTTAAAAGTGAAGAAACCGTGCGGTATTGTTTGTTATGCTAATGGCTGTACTTGTAGTGTATGTGCGTTTGTGTGCGCGATTTTTCTGTTCAGGAGCTGTGTGGGTGGCCCTACCAGGGTCAGTGGTTTACTCTACTGTTGCCTGATGAGCATGCATTGCAAACCCATGCCAGGCATCCTGCAGGCAGAATACAGATCCCATCCCCTCCCTCGCAACCACGGATTAGGCTCTGTGCTGCGTGAGACGGAGGAAGCGAATTGGACGTGTCCGAAGATGGCTGACAGGTATAGATAAAGCCAAAGAGTGCGGGTGAACCACAGAAATCCATTTCCTAGCACACCCTTTGATTTATAGCCCGTCAGGAGCAGTGCTCTCACCAACGCCAACCGACCAGCCGAGAGCTGTCAGGGCCATTCCAGTGCGCCCACACCCCCCAGTCCATCCGCTTCCATGCACAACTTTTCACCTGAAAGCTATCGACTTCTTGCGCTTCTTCTTCTTGCACAACTTCTTCTTTTCTCAAACAGAACTGAAAGATACACAACCTCCATCTCTGCCCTTGTTAGCGTCTACAGTCAGAGCACTATCGTCCGCCCTCGTGCTATTACAGTCACTTCTGAGAGCTGAATATTGCACACCGGGCTTAAGATAATCACATGCAGTCTGTATTGTAGCACAATTCACATTTTTCTTCTCCCTTTTTTTCTGTGGTTGATGAGATCAGGAGTCTCACAATGTAGTTTCACTGTTTTATTCAGGTACCTGCGGCTATTGACTGTTGATTCAGCTGGGCTACCTGCTGCATTCATCTGGCGCTTGGATCGGATTTTATTATCACGATGGCAAAATTCCATGGCTTAGATATTGGTTTTCAGCATCACAGCACAATTTGGTTTATTCGATGCCATGGCAATGCAGAATTATGAGACGGAGCTTGAGGCGGCACCGCTGTTCCGTCATTGCCTGTTATGATGGCGTTATCTGTTTCAGATAATGGGAAGTGCTTTACTGCAGGTCTAAAATCTGTCTTTTTTTCTCTCTCTTTCCCCGCAGGACCTCGATGGGCCTCTTGGAATCTTGGTGTGTTTATTTGTATCCGCTGTGCTGGAATACACCGGAACCTGGGAGTGCATATATCACGCGTCAAATCAGTCAACCTGGACCAATGGACCCCCGAGCAGATACAAGTATGTGTGTTTTTGTGTAACACTTCACTATGTTCGTTGCCTTTTTCTTTCTTATGGGGCTCAACAGGATGTTTGGGGTCTGTTGATGTCCCAACTCTCATTCAACAGATTAAGGCAGTACTGCTCTTTCATAGTGTCTCACATTTGTTGATCACATGCGCTACTGTTCAAAAAGTTGGTAAGAATGTCTTAATGTTTTTGAAAGAACTTACCAAAGCTGCTTTTATTTGAATAAAAAAATACAGTAAAACAGTAATATTGTAAACTGTTATTACAATCTTAAATAAGTGTTTTCTATTTTAATCTATTTTAAAATGTAATTTATTTTTATGAAAGCTGAATTTTTAGCAGCCATTACTCCAGTTTTCAGTGTCACATGACCCTTCACAAATCAAAATATGCTGATTTGCTGCTCAGGAAACATTTCTTATTATTATCAATTTTGAAAACTTTTTATTTATTTATTTTGTTATTTGTCATTTTTTTTAGGCTAAACTACAAAAAAAAAAGAATAAATTGTATGTACAGGTGTGCTATAGATGGAATAGGAATAGAATAAATAAAATAAGTTGTAGGGATGTACTAGGGGTTAGGGTGATAATAAGTATAAGGTTATTGCACATACTGTACTTTAATTGCACAATGGGAGAACATTAACTGTTCATGAACGAGAATGAACGAGTGAAACTCCCGCGGCGAATAGAAAGGCTTACAGTTAATGAAAAGCGCTTCTAGATCGGAACAGCATATCTTACCAGGATTATTATTGTTTGGATGGATAATACAAAATGTATTTGAAATAGAAATCTTTTGTATTATAAATAATTTACTCTGACACTTAATTGTTGTCAATTAATTAAACTTAATATAATGTGTCATTGTTGAATAAAATAATGAATTTATTTGGAGAAAAAAATGACCCCAAACTTTTGAATGGTAGTGTACATTTATTTTTGTCTTTCAAATGTAATTCTGATATTTCTGAAATTCTGGTCGAGACCAATAATTACTTTTACAGAAAGGCTGATATTATAAATCTATAATACGAATAGGAAATTAAAACACGCTAAAACTAAAATAAATATTTTACAAGTGAGTTTATTATAACATTATACATTTTAGTGTGATTATTAAATATATATAATATTATATATTATATTATATTATTACTTTTATTTTATTACTTTTATTTAAATATAATGTTTCCATTCCAAATAACATAATATAAACAAGTAAAGATAAAATTGCTGATATCTCTTTGCATGTTTTTGCCAAATTAATGTTATCTAGTTGGCTAACATGTGAGTTTTTATCCAAATTGCAAACCCTTGAAGTATCAGATAGAATAGTTTGAAAAGTATGTTTGTCATTAGGACACGTGTTTATCTAGTGTAGTGTGAGTGATGGCTCCATAACACACTGCTTCATGTAGTCCAGATAAGCTTCATTTATATTACAGGTATACAGTTAATATGTAACTGTATTTGTGTGTCTCTATGTGTTGTGCTGTAAAAGAGCAGTGTGGCTTGAAAGATTTATGAGTTTTTAAGCAACCAAAAGGGAGTCTTGGATCTCCCCTTTCCATATTAATTGACGTCTGAAATGCATAATTAATTCTTGATGGGTAATTACTTGTCTGTTTTTCAGCATCTTCTCTTCCTTCAGTCTGATCCATCCTCATATTAATTTGTCTCTGACAGACTTTGATGTACGTGACATTGAACTGATAATGCAAATGCGCATTATTTGTATATGTTCGAAATAGCCTCGATTACACATTTAATTAAGAATCAAGGCCATAAACTTGCACAGACAACTGAGCCTGTAACCAAAGTTTTTTTATTTATTATTATTATTTTTTAAAATCTTTTTCAGGTTAAAAGTTCATGCATTTTGAATGCATGAATATTACTTTGTAAATAACATATCTGCACACTAATAAACATATCTGTACATTTATCTAAACAATTCATTTTTTCCTATACTTCTATTTCTGTATATAGTACATTATCACATTTTTCTAATTTTTATTTTTTTTATTATATTAGTGTTATATTACATCCCTACTGTGTTATTCCTATGTATGTCTGCACTATCATGTATGTCTGCACTATGTTTGTACTTTCTTCTACACTGGAAGCTCCTGTCGTCAAGTCAAATTCCTTGTGTGTGTAAACATACTTGGTAATAAAGCTCTTCTGATTCTGATTCTGATTCTGATGTTACCACTAGCTTTATTAGGAAGTTAGGAACTGTGATGTGTGGCATGAATCACGGTACAGATATTTTGCACCATCACTCCTGTTGCCCCAGTGATTGTGCACACAGCATCCAATCAAATTCCACCACCTTAAAGAATGAATGAGGTCACTCTTTATTCAGAGGTCATTGCAGTACTTTGACATTGAGAGAGATAGAGAGATCAATATAACTCTTTTTAGGGGTCCGTAATGAATACGTAGCAGCATAATATATACATTCAATTTTTCCCTAAGGTCATCATTTATGCATTTTAAATTATGTGAAGGGAAACACTGTACAGAGATGCATCAGTTTCAGAGTTTATACTTATTTAGATGACCTGCTTCTACATTAAATGAACTTGATGAATTTGTTTATAGATCGTATACAGATTTTGTGCTGTATGTTTTGAATTTCTGTAATTTTAATAATGGACTAGTACACTAGTTGAGTTTGGGACCAGTTGACAAAACTGTGAAAGTGTGTTTGTGAATTAATTGTCAGTTTCCAACTGAAATAAAACATTTGCAATATTTTTGTAAAGAAAACTGTTTAATTTATAATAGGAAATATATCAAAATATTTGTTTCTAACATTTAATATGTGGCTTAAAATAAAATGTGTAATTGAGTGCTTGAGCTCTGATGTGTGTTAGATTTTTAAAATAATTGTATTTATTTACTTATTTAGGTTCTTGCCTTTTCTCCTTTTGGATGGACTTTGGGATAAATGGATGGTTTGTGTTGTTCTTCTTTTTCACCTGTTATCGCTCTCTCTTTTTTTTGTCTGTCTTTCTCTGTTTAGAGTGTGCAGAGCATGGGCAACACCAAGGCAAGACAGCTGTATGAAGCTCATCTCCCAGAAAACTTCAGACGGCTGCAAACTGACCAGTATCCTTGAGTCTATCTGTGTTTTCGTTTGTAATTGTCATTACATTATGCTTTGATGGCCTTTGCTAGTTATTCGTTATAAGTCATCATCAACTTTCTTCTCAGAGGCTGAGGTTAGTGTGTGGTACAGATTCATTCTTGGTCGTCTGCAGAGGATTGGCATGATTAAAGTGAAAAATCCTTTTCTTGGCGCTAGAAAAGACAAATTGTGGATTTGTAATATGGAAAGAACTGGGTATTTGTGAGTTTATGCTGTTGCGTCCTACTCTTTTCTTGCTGCTGCCAAATTCACACAAACAAAGATTCCGTAGCCAACACAACTTCTCTCTTGTAAGCAACAGAAAAAGGTTTAGAGTATGTATGTAGCAGTGCAGTCTATCGCTTTAAAGATCTGCATGTTCTACATGTTGGGTTGTCTTGTACGCGGATAAATTAAGATATTCATTATTTGGTTGCCAAATACAGGGATTCACAGCACTTTTTGTCAAGATTTGTAGATACTATTTTGATGGAGTATTTCTACAAATATATGGCAAGATATTGCTCACAGTCCTTAAGCTTGCAATCAAAGTGATGTCAATTTGCATTTGAATTTGTATTGGCTGGTAGAACACATATTTAGGCTTGCAATTGAGATTGCAAAGGATGTGTGCCATTTCCCATAATTCTATAAATCGTTCTTGTCTAACCCAATTCTATGAGCAGTGGATGACAATGCAGGGGCACACCAGTGATTTTTTAATATTTCTAAAACTATGGCTTGAAGGCAGTTCTTATTTTTCAGAGAAATGGAAGAAAACCATATATAAAAAAAGACATTCTGTACATTTTTGTTCCTGCAGATATTTAGTTCTAGGTGATGAACTTTTACAGTGCAGGGTCATGATATTGTTCAGGGCTTGAAAAATGAGGGAAAGGAGAACTTTACTTTACTAAATGACATGCTTTTTGACATGCATGAAATTGTAAGTACGCTAACAAAAAGTGCCGTCATTGAGCGTCACTGATTGTTTGTGCTTATTACCATGATTTTTGCAAATGTGCTACCTTTCAAAAGTTTGGGGTCAGTAAGATTTTTTATCAGATTTATTCAGCAATTGAAAGCAACAGTAAAGACATTTATAATGTTACAAAAGATTTATATTTCAAATAAATGATTCTTTTGACCTTTATATTCATCAAAGAATCCTGAAAAAAATGTATCACTGGCATGTCATTTCCACAATACATTGAGGAATGAATGAAGCAGCACAACTGTTTTCAGCATTGATAATAAGAAATGTTTCTAGAGCAGCAAATCAGCATATTAGAATGATTTGAAGGATCATGTGACACTGAAGACTGGAGTAATGACTTTTTTGTCACTGCAGGAATAAATTACATTTTAAAATATATCAAAATAGAAAACAGTTATTTTTAATTGTAATAATATCACACCGTATTACTGCTTTTACTGTATTTTTTTATCAAATAAATGCAGCCTTGGATAGCATAAATAACTTATTTCCAAAAAAATTTGATTGGTAGTGTTTTTAAAATTTGCGCAATACTTTGAGGAAGATAAAAATAAATTAGTGATACATCTTGATTTATACATTTCATTTGTCAGTTCTGTCACAACAACTCAAACTGTTGTTCCTGTAGTTCCATCATGAGCTTTATATATACAAAATAAAAATGCAGTCGGGAATTCCTGGTGTAATGTTGGTGAATGTGGCAGACAGAAGCCTATGTGACTTCACACCTCTGGCTGCAGAGATTTAGAGAAAACAGCTGCTGTTTTCAGCATCTTCACACACAGCAGAGCTGAACAGGAACTACCTCACCGTCACCGCTGAGGCCTAACAGGAAGTCTCTTCATGTCTTTCAACCCTCCGCCTCATCCCTCTTGCCTCGGGTATCCTCCTCCGTCCCATTTCACACATCAGTCTAATTGGGTGTGTGTGGCGGCCGGGATAATTCCATATTCTCCTCATTGGCGCCTTCAGAAAACCTAATTGAATTTCCCTGGCATCCGCAGCCTGTTATCAGCACTCCTGCGTTTGGTGTGGATATGGAAATGGCTTAATTTGTATGCTGACCGATGAGGTACAATATTCTTAACTGTCAAAATGGATTAATCTGGACAGCAGAGGTGAGCTTCCTCCACAAACCAGCTTTGAGGGAATTTGCTTTATCACAGGTGTGGTTTCTTCAGATGGAAATGTGTATCTTTTGTGCACCAGTGTTGGGGTCTTTCACTCTCTCTCACTTCCCACTTATCACCGCTTCCCTCTCGTGATCTGTCTAATGGAAAAGATGGCCGTGTTAATATAAACGTCAAATCGGCAGAGAGGAAATTTGAAGTTCTCTCTCTTCTGTTGCTCATTGTGATTGGCATAGGTACCTTCATTTGGTGTGCTTGTAGTTTCTTTCTCTGTGTTTTCTCATATTTTTGAGTCTGTTTTTTTAATGTATAACTCATTTATCTTTCTCCTATTGATGCCAGTGCTATTTTTTATGCATGATCTTTCTTCCCGGCTCCTCTCTGTAACTTTTGCATCACGTCCTAACTCGGCGTGATGCAACAAAGCAACTTTACCATTTTAAGTTTAGGAATGTGCAAAACTCCACATTTTCAAAATCGACTTGTCTAGGTGCCTGAAGCTCTACTCGACTGATTGTCTTAAAGAAGCCCTGCATAATTAAGTGTTCCTGAGGATTTTTAATTAGCTGGTTCAGGTGTGTTTGATTAGGGTTTGAGCTGAACTTTGCAAGAAGGTATATCTCCAGGAACAAGATTGGCCTGATTTACATATGTTTTTGCATTGAAAAACAGTAGACTGAGCACAGCAGAACAGAAAACTCTCAAGTGTCTCGCAGTCGCAACACATTTTGGAAAGTAGGTGTTTTAAAGGGTATGAATGTAAAGATGCTTGGAACTTTTCCAAGAGGGTTTTTTGGTACAACTGGTTGGCATCTAAAGCACAGCAAGCTGTCTGTACAGTATACTCATTAAAGCAACACAGCTAAAATTATATTAAAACAAACACACACATATAAAATGTTTAGACATTAAGGCATTTTGATAGATGCTTTGTTTTTGTTTTGTTGTTGTTGTTTTTTTCTTGCTTTGTTGACACTAACAGCAAAATATAATTTGTTCCTCTCAAAAAAATATGGGTTTATTAATCAAATGGCTAATTCAGTGTTGGTGCTTTTGATAATTAGAATTACACTACTGTTAAAAGTTTGAAGTCAGTAAGTTTTTTTTTTTTTAAGAAATGAATACTTTTATTCAGCAAGGATATATTAAATGGATCAGAAGCACCAGTAAAGACAAATCTTTTGTAACGTCATAAAATCCAAATAAATGTTTTTTTGAATATATGAATAGATATTAATCAAAGATACATGTTACAGTACATAGTTTGATTAATGGCACACGTCATTACGTCCCCACGTGACGCCATCCGACGTCCCCTCCGGAATTTCACGTATAAACATATAGTTCTTCGTGATGATGCCATGTACAGTTTTGGTTGTTTCATTTTTAATTTTATGAAAGCTTCAAGTGCAGTTAAATATTTGTATGTGCATACAGACGATGGCGGTGTGGAAGCTCTTTTATTTGCCGTCAAACGGTTGACTAAGGTGTTTACATGTCTATACTGCACTTCAGTAATGCGACTAAAATAGGAATAAGTTACTCCACGTCTTAATTCGATTTCTGTTTACTTAGACGACTATGACTTTAGCCGGACTAAGGTAATCAAAAATCTCTGTTTACATGGTAGATTCTTAACCAGAGTATTGTCTTAATCGTGCTAAAATTGGATTATTGTTGTCAATGTAAACATACTCAATGACGCTGAAGACTGGAAAATTCAGCTTTGCTGCCATCACAGGAATAAATGACGTTTTAAAATCTATTATTTTAAATTTAAAGTTATTTTAAATTGTAATAATATTTTACAGTATTACCGTTTTTATCAAATAAATGCAGCTTTGGTGCCATGCTTCTTTCAAAAACATTAAAAAATTATACCAACCCCAAACTTTTGAAAGGTAGTGTATTTTATTTAGTTGTGTTGTTAAAAATTGGTCCTCCATGGATCACTTGAAATTCTTCCCAGACCACCTTCTTCCAGTTTGAGAACCGCTGATCTTTTGTACTGAGGATGCTACAGGGGTTTTGTCGCTCACCCCTGTCTTTTCTCTTTCTCTTTCTTGCATTCTTTCTCTTCCTGACAGCTGCTTCTTCACCCTGATCCATATTTCATCAGATGCATTATTGTATTGTGATCAGGGATTCATGAGAGTGTAAATCCAATAAAGCTGCGTGAACCCGTCCTCTTAGCATTTTACTGTCGCTGTATAAATTCGCTCTGTTAACAGGGAGTGAGATTCAGAGAGAGTGTGTTTTGATTTGTCTTTGGCCCCACTCTGTGCATGTGTGTTTGCTGTGAAAAGAAGAAAAAACAGGCTTGGGAGGATTTGGTCCATCTTTGTGTGATCCTGATTTTTTATTTTCTTTCTTTCAAGATGCAGAATGCTAAGTTGTATTCAGTTCATGGTCCAGGTGGGGTGTTGGTGCTCTACTGTCTTTAATGGTGAGGAGAGAAAACAGCCAGGCTGAGAGGGCTGGCCTCTTTAATTGTAGCTGAGCAAGATGCCAGTTAAATCTTCCTAGCCAATATGAGATTTGACAAAAAACAAGGTTTCAAACTGGGCCTTGGATCAACATTAAAACAATAAGACTGAGCTTTAAAGACACCTATAAAAAAAACAAGTTTTGTGGCTTTCAGTCTGTGCACTTACTTTGATGTCATGTATATGCGGTATAATGAGAGGTATATGCTATCAAAACTTGTTGCAATAGCACAAGAAAGTCAAGCCATTTCATGGGTTTTAAAAATGTATAGTCTGCTAGTTAGCAGTCAGCATCAAGCTTCTCCATGTCTCTTACAACCTCTCAGGTTAATTAGTGAATGCATGCCATGCTTGTTTAAATGCTGTGATGTTTAATATGATTTGTATTAGTCGTAAGCCATCAATATTTACATTTTCCTGAGCAATGTTTCAGAGCTGTGGAGTTCTTCATCAGGGACAAGTACGAGAGGAAGAAGTACTACAATAAAAACGCTGTCAATGGAACAATTGTGAGTATCAGCATGCACTCATCCACTGTTGCTATCAAACATTATTTTGTTTGTGTGTATATGTGTGTGTGGCACAGCAATATTTCCCAGGTTTGTGATCACAGTATCTATAAATTCTCAGCAAAGTTACATTGCTTCTAAACTGGTGTGTGTACTAAGTCTGTGCCAATACAATCATATATATAAAATATATAGTGTGATTCTTTCTCAGAAAACGCATTAATATATAGATCTCTCTATCAATATTTCTTTATTCATATTTGAATTCATATCACATCCTATAGTTTAAGTAAACCTGCTAGCAAGCTATATATA